TGGATGTCACACGAGGTAAAACTGAAGAGAGAAGAAGTCGACTTCTGTTTCGGCAGTTTTCAACCTCGGTTTGAAAGAAGACGTCCAATTCTGCCATCTGAGATTACATGGCCACCTGTGTGTCCAGGAGTCTTCTATCAAAGGCAAAGAGCCAGAGGAGAAAGAAAACCCCAAAACACAAAATTATTTATTGAGACAAATTCGGAGCAGGAAGGGAAATATTTGGTTAGCTCGGCGGCAAACGGTCGGCGGTGTTGGAGCAGTCCACGGTTGAAGTAGGGGGGGAACAGCCGGCCCTTTGTTTGCGGACAGAATGGTGCACTCCGTGGGGTCACTGCAGGAGGCCCGACATCACAGACACAAGCAAACACACATTCTCCCTCTCTCACACACATGCATGCACACACACACACACTCACATACACACACACATACACGCATGTTTGCCCGCACATGCATGCACACTCACACAAAAACCATAACATTCCTCTGCTTCTATGAATGTTTTATTAACCATGTGAATGGGTCACAGAGTTACACCCCCTTAGCATAACTAGAGTCTCCATAGTCACAGTCTTTCTCACACTCACACACCTACCAGGCGAAGTGGATGGCAGACGCATTCTTGGTCTTTCATAACCATCCAACCTGTGACTCCTTGTTAGGTCACTCTGAATCTGGCCAAAAATCTTGGCCAGAATCTCCAGTTGTAGGCAGTCTGTGTTTTATCCTGATATCAGTCTTACTGCTGAAGCAGGGCTTTTTATTATTTATTTTTTTACCACAAATAAAAATTGGGATAATGATAAGGATTACTTCACCCAAATACCCTCCCCCCCCACAAAAAAACCAACAACATATTTTCTCACTTACCACAAGTGGTATTTAACCATCAAATACTTTTGGTTTCACTTGCTGTCTTTCAGATTTCGGCTTCCAGCCACTACAATGGATTGTTGTTGATGGGGTTTACAGCAGTGAAACATTCAAAATATAATAAGTCCCTCCAGAAACAATGTCATGGTCACTCTGGTATAATCCATAAGCTTCTCTGCACTGAACTCTATCAACCCTTACAAGAACGTGTTGACTTCATCTTGACTGGGATTATTCAGAGAAGTTGGGATGCTGTTTCTGAAAAGACACGTTGACACTGTTGATTTTTTTATTTTTATTTTTTCATGTCACTTTACTGTCTACTCCACTACATCTCAGAGGAAAATATTGTACTTTTTACTTCAGTTACTAGTTACTTATACAAATTAAGATATTTGTACTGTTGGTTGGACAAAATAAGCACTGTGAAGGTGTCACTGTTGGCTCTGAGTGATTGTGATGGCGTCACTTTTTTCAGTATTTTTTACAAACAAAACCAATCAAATCAATCTATTAATAGAGAAAATAATCATCAGATTAATCCATAATGAAAACAATCATTAGTTGACCCACCTCAACCAACTACAACAGTAAAATTCTGTTTTTTCATTAATAAATTAGTATTAGTAATCTAATGATATAATAGTATAACAGTCAGGGGGACATCTTTCTGCATTGAGTACCTTTACATTCAATACTTTCAGTACATTTTCCTGACTTACATATTTTTACTTAAGTAACATTTTCATTGCAGGACGTTTACTTGTTGTTCAGTATTTCCACAATGTGCTACCCTTAATTTGGGTAACCTGACCCTTTAATGAAACGCAGCCAAGAAACAACAATGTAGTGATTTATATGTGGCAGCAGTTTTAGCCTGGATGTTTTTTCCCCCTAACAGGAACTTAAAAGTCTTAAAACAGCCTTTAAACTGACACTTTCCGCTTTAAACCCAACACTCCAGAGTGACTTCTCGAACATTAGAGTGTGACCTATTGTTTTGTCCACCCATAAAATATTCCTGAGGTACACAGGAAAGTCACTTATAGCAGCTGTAAACATCCTGGTACACAACATGAGAACATTTGGCTCAAACTACCCTCTTTTTGTTTTTATGAGAACAAACCATTGCCAGTTAGTCCATCCCCCTATACTTGCACAGCGCTGTTCTTTTTGGACAAAGCATGACAGCATCAGTCACTAGAGGATGACTAGCCAATAGTTGATCCATTGCAAGTCCCTTGTGCCCACACACAAACATCTATCAGACCCCCACTGCTGAGTTCTGGATCCAGAAAGTCTCACCCAATACCATGCAAAGGTGTTAAACTAGGACCATTTCCAGGACCAACCATCAATCCTTGCACCACACACAGACACAGACACACACACAGACACACACACACACACACACACACACACACACACACACACACACACACACACACACACACACACACACACACACACAGGCATGTTAATTCCTCAAGCTCCTCCATACCCCCACAGAGAGCAGAACACAACTCCTGTTTGGTTTGGATGGCCCTACGAGGAGACCTCCATGTTGAACAAACTGTAGCACACCGTGGCCCTGTAACACAGTTTGAGTAGGAAGATAGAACAGGCTTCACAGTGCAGTGCTGCTGCAGAGATCAATGGGCAGAAGCAGCATCTCACAAGACCTGCATTATAAAACAATCATTCACATCCGGCAATGACAAATCATATTCCATCCTACAAGCCTTGAGTCAGTTCAAGTAGTAATATATCAGTTATGCAACAATCCACATTGAATCCATTTGGTGATTTCTGTTTCGTGTCTCTTTCAGCTCTATGGTGCGCTGATGCATGCTGTGTATCATTGTGGCTGCAGTTTCAGTTGTCCGTTTAATGTGATTTCTCAGTATAAATATCGTATTTCTGCATGTCCACACTTGGTCTGAAAGTGTCTGTTGTGCATCTGATGTGGCTGCGTTTATCAGAATCAAAAAGGGTGGGATTCTGCTCTCAGTGTGAGCCTGACTACTTCCACATGTAGCTTTGAAGATCCAATAGCAACATAAGCAAAATCCAGTTTTTGTGCGCTGTGACCTGTCACTTAATACACCCGTGCTTCAGACAAAAACATTAAAGTCGGACTGAAATGACACGTGTAACCATAGCCTTAGAATATGCGCCTGGTTGAGATCTCTTGAGGAGCATTTACCAGTGGTTTCTCTGTCCTGCTGTTTTTTTTTTTTATCTTACTCGATCTAGTTACAGTAATGCTGTTATCCTCACAGCCATGATGGAGAGAGCAGCATTATTGTAGATAATGCCCAACATTAATCTCACACTGCCCTACATATTAAGGGTTAGAGGTCAAAGCCATTTCATGTTCTCGTCCTCACGCTTGAACTTGTATTGGGCCGTCTCCTCCCCAGGACTATTTATTATGACCCTAATGCCCTGGTTTCAGATATCACTCTCCCTCACTCTCCCCCTGCCCACACATATGTTGGGTCAGAATTTCGAGGTATTTCAGTGTAAACTCCTGCATTTTGTTGAATAGATAATGACTCTGTAAAACATAACAATCTCCTTGTTTATTTCCATGTGCTACCTCATAAAACAGCAAGCAGATACACTCATGTTGTCATAATGACAAGGGGTTTTTAATTGCTTATTAATAACAGAGAACGACAGCTCATTGTTTGGCAATTATTGTTTGGTTTTTCCAAATGTTATTTATTCCAAAGAAACAACTGTATATCTTTCAATATCTGTTTGTGTATCCTGGGGTTTTTCTTTCAGAGATTGGTCATTCTCAAATGCCACTATAAAGTCTCGCTGGATTTCTCACAAAGACGACACTTAACCAAGCGGAAAAAAGCATTGCATGTATTCAAACAAATAACCACAACAATTAATCATATTTTGTTTTTCAGGCCATGGTATGGGCCAAAGCATGAATGTGTTTGTGTGCTATGGCAAAACCATAGAGCACTCCACTTCAGCCGACTCCCTCATAATGCTCCTCCGCTATCCCTTTGTCACACTCACACATCCAAACACCATCTCCAGAATAGTCCAGATTTAAGACCTGTCGCTGCTCTGGAACATAGTGAAAAGGAGTATCCTGTGGGGCCCTTGGGGGCCAGAAATGTACTATGTAGCCCTGTATGTGTGCTCGTGCATGTATATGTGCGTGTGAGTGTGTGTGTGTGTGTGTGTGTGTGTGTGTGTGTGTGTGTGTAGTAGCAGAGAGTGACCCGAGAGGCCCAGCTAGTTACAGCCTCTCTGCTGGAGACCACCACTTCCACAAAACAAGCATTGTTGGTACAGAGCTCCAGACACCAGAGACACACACTGGAAACAACTCCTGTGCACACACACTTGCACACACACATACAAAAATACATACACACAAGAGACAAAACTCTGCTGAGTTTGAAACCGTCAATCCCAGCAGAGATCGTGTTCTGTTTGCCATGAATAAAATCACAGTAAGTCCCTCGAAAGAGTCTCACCTGACAGCTACTCCACAGCCTTTCACTACAAAAGTCTCTCTCACACATACACAAACACACACACACACACACACACACACACAAACACAACACACTGTACAAAATGTGGATCACTGTCGCTAACAATAGCCCTTGGGTGGTTGGTCAGACTATTATTGTAGGTGTTTCTATGCTAATTATGTGTGACTGAGAGCATGTCAAAAGCAGTTACTGGAAATAATGTGGTGAGCTGGAAATTGTGAGGTGGAATTACTTTGTCTGCAAAAAAAAAAAAGAAAGAAAAAAGAAAAGCAGAGTTTGTTGAGTTTTAACAGTGGTTTTGTCTGACCAGTGCTAAACAAATGAGTGCTACTCTGAAACACTGTGCCAAAGCCACTGGATCAATGTTATTACTCCACCGATGGAAAACAACATAAGGAAGACATCATCAGCATCATCAGCATCATCATCATCATCAAAGAGAGAAAAGGGGGGCGGGGGGGTCAGCATCATGACCTCCACTTCTGGCTGCGTGCTCTGCTGCAGAGACCTCGTTGGCTGACAGGAATATACGTCAGCACCTCTCGCCGCTCCAGTATAACCCCCTCGAGCCACTGGCGGTCACACAGACGCAAGTGTAAAAGTGGCAGCTTCAACTGTTGCCCGGACTAACCCGTTCAGCATCCACGTCCCACACAGTCTGACACAGAGAAGTGAGACGGCTCACCGAGCACGAAGCGGAAAAGTGAGAGGAGAGGTGGAACATTTACGCACAGCCTCTTGAGTCTGGAGTGTTTTGGCGCGTCTTTAAAGCCCACCTTGGATCGTTTTTGGACAACATTTTCCTGCATTGGATTTTGGGTTAATTTCAGCACTTAAATGGCAGCTTCAAGTATGATTTCCTCGCACCTGTTCCTGTTGATGTTAAACTGTTTCCTGGGTGCCGCGTCAGTTAGGACCATGAAAGGGAGCTCTGGGAGCGCACAGGACAGTAGCTTCCTCCAGCCCTCGTCGGACCCGTTCTCTGACGACCTGGACCAAGACATGGTCTCGCAGCACATGTCCAAACTGTACGAGAAATACAACAGGGAAAACCGCCTCAGAGAGGGAAACACTGTCAGGAGTTTCAGAGCCAGCCAAGGTGTGTGAACACGTTGATTAACCTGCCTATAGCCGGCAATCGATAGTTATCGCCTCCTGCAAAGGCGCTCAAATGATTTCATTATGGAAAAAGAAAAAAGAAAATAGCCTCGTGATCCATTAGTGTAACAGTAGTCCGACGCAAAAAGCAAAAAATAAACTTCAGGAGCAGTCAGAAAGCTCCCCTGATCCTCTCCATGGATGGTTATTAAAAGTCCAAGCGCTCATGGGGCTGCATGGTTCGACCAGACGCTCTAAATAGGTAGGATTGTTTTGGAACAGTCTGAGAATGCATTTAAATGATTTTGGGACGCTGTGGGCACACTCTGTTTGTGGCAGCAGCTGTGCCCCTTCCGCGCGGGGGCTGATCAATTACCGCAGACAGACGCGCAATACGCGCAAGAATGCATGCGATTCCCTACGAGCAATGCCCAGCTTCAGTACAGTAAAACCTCAGCGGCACTTACGCTGTGCAAAAGGGGTCATTGTCGTGGCTTCTATGGTGCCTGTTGTGGCTACAGGACATGTGTGACTCCACGTCCTGGAGTCAAGGGGGCTTAAAGCACAGTCGTTCCTCCCTGTCTGATGCTGTTTTTATAAACACAACTCATAGACATTTATATCCCACATAGTTCTCAGATGGCATATCATAACACGTGTGTATTTTTACTGCAGAGGCAGAGTGTAATCCAAGGAGAGATGTGAGAGACTTTTCACAACAATATAAGATCTGTTAAAACAGTTGATTATGTCTTAGTGTCTGGGCAGACAGTGCTGGCTGTATGAAGCTTTAGGGGAAGCTTTAAAAGAAACTGAGGTAAGCATTTCCATATGCAGGCTGAATCCGAGGTAATGTATATCTCTTGAGTCAGTCCCTACTTCCGCTGAACTCTTATACAATGAACAATAACTCTGCTGTTGAAGTTAATGTTCATCATGAATATGTAGCTCTCCACCCCCCCTTGCTCACCACCCTTCCAGCCCTGCCAGTCAGATCCCCAGAGTCTGGTTCCTCTTAAGGGCACCTTCTGCAATCCTACCAAGGCGTGCAGTCGTGTACCAGCCACATAGCTCAGTCATGTAACACAGAACAAGCAAAGGTGTTTAATAGTCCCACTTCATAAGATTTTAACGGCGGTTAAACGGAGTGCTTTTGGTGCAATTTAGTAGCTTTTTTCCAAATCCCTTTCCTTCATCCCTTATAGGACTTTATTATCAAATTATTCCTTTTCAAGTCATTCCTTTTTTTTTTAATGACTGATAAATAGTAGGGAAAGTGTATGCCAAACATTTCAGCCATTAACATTTCCCATTTGCATGGACCTGTCAAGAACAATCAAAATATAAAACTAATTTAGGATACTCTATCCTTGTTCAAAACAAGAACATAGAAGGACATGTGAGCCACAAAACTGTCAAATTGTTTCAGTGTGCATTCATCTTTTATGTCAAGGATCAGTGGTAAATCTTGTAGAATAAATTTGGGTTTTACAAACATCATTCTCTGGATTAAAAAAAAGGTTTTATTGTCAGGTTGTTCACTTGACTGTCTGACACTGATTGATTGTCTTTGCAGACTCTTCTGACCACAGGACTGTGTACCGACTAAACCTTACAACCCTCCAGGACTCAGAGGTCATCCTCTCTGCCACATTCCACTTCCTGCTCGATCGGCCCCCTCATCACAAACCCTGGTTCTGTAAACGCTTCAAAAGCCCATCCTGCCGTTCCTCAGCCATCCACCCATCTCCGTCCATCAGCTTGCTCCTTCGCGCTGTCTCCTCTGGGTCAGAGGTCAGATCTGGGTCAATGGGGTCATTTCTAGGCAATGTGACCTTCCACCCCCACAGGAGAGGGGTGTGGCAGATGAAAGATGTGACCCAGGTCATAAAGGAGGCACGGGACAAGGGTCATCTCCTGGTGTCAGTGGAGTTGGACATAGGTCAGCAGTACCAGAGGAAACCAGAAGAGGCGCTGTCTGCTGGCAGCCTGCCCTACCTGTTACTGTATGCTAATGACCAAGCTTTGGCAGAGCCTAACAGCGTGGCTGCAAGCCTTCAGAGATATGACCCGTTCAATGAGGGAGGGGAGCCCTCACATTCCTCTCAGTCCTCTCAGCTCCTGCACAGACCGAACTCCTCACCAGAGTCGAAAGGACGCGTGAGAAGGGAAGCACCTTCACTCTCTGACCCCATTCAGAACAATGAGCTGCCCGAGGTTGACTTCAGGCCTGATGGATACAGGAAGGAGGACCTTTGGGAGAGCACTTGGTACCTGGCACTCAAACCCAAGCCTAAATCCGGAAAGAAGGAAAAGAAGAGAAAGAGCCAGGAGGAAGAAGGAGTGGAGCAAGGTAGGGGAGCACACGATAAGGAAGAACCTCAGGTTCTCAAAGAAGAAGGAACATCACAGTGGCTCAAACCTCATGACTCATCTGTGAAAAAACTCAAAGACAGTCGAATGCTGACAATCGGCGATGGACGAAAGCACGAGCGGAGAAATGAGGGAAAGGATGGAAGAAAGCCCAAGGGGAGCGCAAACTCTCAGTCACCTGTTCTGAGTTTTGATGAACAAACCATGCGTAAGGCCAGAAGGAGGCAGTGGGGCGACAACCAGCACAGAGGATGCTCAAGGAGAAACCTCAGAGTGGATTTTGCAGACATTGGCTGGAGCGAATGGGTAATAGCACCCAAGGCCTTCGATGCGTACTACTGCGCTGGCACATGTGGCTTTCCCATGCCCAAGGTAGGAGCACAAACATCTAAGTCACTCTATTTAATCTCATTTTTTTCCAAAATTGTATTATCTAGTTATATTTAGTAACTATAACGTGTTGTTCTGTTCCCTTTTATTGATTTTATTCTCTACTCAAACTCTCCCAGGTGGCGAGGCCGTCTAATCACGCCACCATCCAGAGCATAGTCCGAGCAGTCGGTATCATCCCTGGAGTTCCTGAGCCCTGCTGTGTCCCAGAAAAGATGAGTTCCCTGGCTGTGCTCTACCAGGATGAATCCAGGAACCCAGTGCTCAAGGTTTACCCCAATATGTCCGTCCAGTCCTGCTCCTGCAGATAGGGAGGGGAGGGCAATGGGGGTAGAGGACAAAACAGGGAGGATGTGGAGAGAAACAGAAAACGGGACTAATGGAGACAGAACCATACCTCTGTTTATTAAGTGGTTTCTTGATACTGAGAAACAAAGTCACTTTGGCCGTCGTTATTCCTTGAAGAACATAGGCTGTAGAGAAATCACTTCCATCTCTTCTGTCCTGCGGCAGCAGACTTGAAGAGACACATTGTCTGGCGTCTGCCTTAGCAAGAGGAACAGAGTCACAAGTGTAAAGTCAGGGCTCCACATGTCCAAGAAGCCCACTTGTTTTGATTCTGTGTTTGAGATAATGTTGAGGATTTCATGGACAGGAACATTTAAGGGATGTATTCCTTTTTTATCTCAAATGAACTTGTTTTTCAAAGAGCTCACAGTGAGTTTGTGTTCATGTTTTCTTTGGACACAAAGGCTACAAATAAAAGACTTTATCTCTGTGTCATCGGGCAGCTTACACAGTCACATACAGATGACAGAGATTACGAAAAACATATTTCTACAGTTTTACACTCTGTGTACAGCTGTTCTTACTTTTAAGCTAATCATACGCCACATTGTACATACATGCAACGTTAATTTGTTTGCAAGACAGGAGGGTTATTGTACATTCTTGCTCCGTATATCTTAAAAAGGAAATATCCAATGGATTGTAGAGAGCATCTGGAATTCATTTACACCCACCAACCCCCTCATAACACTTCAAGAATGTTATATTGAAACCAGAAATATTTTTCTATTTTGAATGTGAAACTTGGTTAAAAATAATTTGTCATGGTTACTAGGTTATGTATTACTATATTTTAGATGAGATGCTGTTTTGTACATGTGTATTGTTTAAATTATGAAAAGGTAGCCTTCTATAAGTTAGAATAAAAAAAGTAATTTAATCCAATGCTCTTGCTGGAATATTATTGTTTCATACACTTTGTGTTATTCTTGGTCATTACTGCGTATAACATTTGAGTCTTGGGGGGACCTTTTTTGTCAAAACAAACATAAAAGGGCACAACTCTTCCAAAATAACTTACAAAAGCAGGAAGGTTCCACTCAAAGATAGCCAACATTCCCCTAAAGCCCCTTGAACCCATTATTACCCCACACCAAAGGCTCAGACGTCTGTTGTCCAGCAAATAATGTGACTGATGCAGTTGCAGTGGGTTAATGGTTGATGGAGGAAGCCGCCATGCGCCTATTAGGACGTCAGCCACTTGAACTTCAAAACGTGGCGCACTTCCCCTTTTCTGCCCCTCAATTCAAAAGCAGAACATTTCCAAGTCAGGATGTTCTTCTCAATAGCCTTTTCTCTCAAACAGATGGTTACAGACGGAAGATCTCAACCAATTTAACTCAACTGCTTGTCGCTTTTATTCACAGGAGGAAGAAGGTGACTCATGTGGTGCATAAACTGTGTGTCAAACTGACAGTGAACTGACAGAGGGAACCTTTGATTATTAACCCATTACTCTGTGGCTGTTTTTGCCTTGAGCCTGAAAAAAATAAAACTGGCACAGAGTACCACATCTGTTTGCAACAACAGAATGCTCTGAAGTTTGCCAAGACTGGACAGTAATTTGGTCTCAAAACAGAAACATTCAGTAACCACTTGAGGGATGGAACAAAAGATAATGCTGTAAAGTCTTTTGACTTTAGAAAAATTAACAGTCAGTCACCTGTTATCAACACTAAAAGCAAATAGGTATACATAGACTATAAAAAGTAGTGACCGTCTTTGGAAATTGGCAAGTTTTAATGTCATACAGCAATGAATCATGTAATATGTCAATATTTTGCCCTTTAACTAACTAATTGTTTTGTTTTTTTCCTACATGTATTTTAGATTTGTAATTAAAGTTGTCAATGTCAAAAAAGCCACGTTAAATCCCCTTTGATTCAATTTTGTAAGAAAATAAAACATGAAAACTTCCAATGAGGGTGAATACTTTGTATATCAAACCAGTAAGTAGACAGAAATCTTATTATTTTAGCTTGATAATGGTTTTGTTGAAGAGAAACATGAGTGGCCTGCTGCTGACTATTCACTGACAATGCGTGCTGCTGTTTTACTGTGACATGTGATGATGTGAGATGATAAGCAATATCACAACCCTAAAGAGATTATCTTTAATCCATATTTGAGGATGACGGGGATAGAGACAGATGAGGGGAGAGATTAATGTCTGAAATTCCAAATGCATGATTCAGTTTTCTCCATTTTGAACAAGTGGAAATGTTAAGCAACTACAAACCTTTTTTTTTGTTACGAAAGCTTTATGGACTCCAACCTCTATTTGAATTATGATGACGGCAGTAATTATGGTTATTATAAATCATGTTTACATTAATAGATGTTTTAGCTTCAAAGTAGGCTGGCCCAATTGTAGTGAACACATCCAGGTTCTTTTTTTCCCCCCTCATTTCCTGACTGATCCCTTGTAGAGTCCGGACCCACAGTCTGCTATTACAAAGTGAACCCCATGTCAACCGCAATCACAGTCACAGGAGAGTACTTACAATGGTCAATTCCAGCCGAGAAAACCACAGTAGTCTAGGCTTGTGTTCAGAGCCCAGCGCCTAAAAGCCAAAACCGAAACGAGCCAAGTGGGGAACCAAGAACAATATTTGTTTTTCCATATGATGACTGTTCAATTAAAGGAGAGCAATACAGCCATTATTAGACAACAGAGGATTTTCTGTGTCTGGGCTGAAATGGCTCTTTCCTCACATGGTTACTGAGCTCAGAAAACTAATAGTTCTGTTCATTAGGACCCGGCTTTAATAGAGTGTCACTGTGCTTCTTAATCACCCATTTAATCATGTGGGCCACTGGGTATTTTATTTAAAAATCATATTTTTCCTTTGGAAAGTGAAACAAAATATACTTTAAACCAGTTCCCAAATACCTTTTAGAACTTTTATTCAGCCAAGTAGTCCATTTTAGTCTGGAAACCAAAGAATATTCAGGCTGCCTAAAGATAAATGAGGGTTTAAAACTCAATGAAGGATTATGAACATGTTGCAGTGTGTTAGTAGCACATTTTTGTAGTGTTTTGGGTGCAGGTTTAATGTATTGTGTAGGTTTCAGTCCCAGTAGTACAACACATGAGTAATGATCTCCAACTGATCATCATCACAAGCAAAACATCCATGAAAGACTTCCAGAAAAGTATTAATGAAGTCACTGAAGTCACCTTGTGATTGTCTAATGAGTCTGCGGTGAATAGAAACTGGGAGGATAAACTCTGCAACTCAAATAAAAGAAGATAACAGCAGTGAGGGTGGGTTTACATCCCCGCTTACGTTACAGAGCGACTGAACTGGGTCCAGACTTGACTTTCCCATGAACTTCATGCCTTCTTCCCGCCTCATTTACCTGCAACAGAGACGGCTATTTATGTCCATCTGTCGGCAGCCTGACCTGAATGGGACGTAGTATTGGTGGAGAAATATAAAAACACAAATTCAAAGCAGTGGGCTTATGTGGACTCCATCCAGGTCTGTTTAATGATAACAATGAAGCTTTTTAAATTTCCCCTTTGAGTGTCAGCCTGGAAATCAGCCTGTTATTGTTTCAGCTCATTTTTTCCTCAAATATCATGCTGAAATGTAGGGTGAAACATCTCAAATGACGTGCAGATACTATATTGATGCATCTTTAACATTTTTTTTCCTCTCTTGACTTCTCTGGACAGTCTAATCACAAAGCAAACATATCTGGTAGATATTCTTTATATTGAGGAGAAAGGGTAGTGTCAGTCGCCGCCTGTTGGAGCAAGCAAAAACTGTCACCCCCCATCAAAAGAAAATACTCGACACGTCTGTTTCATTCTCACAATTTCAGATTTTAAAACGAATGTGCAAACACACTCAATCCACACCTCTTGTACAAATCAGAGCAGAACAAAAAGCTGATAAATAAAGAAGATTGCGTCGAGATATTTCTGACAATCATGAGCTGTCCTCGAGATCTCTCCGTCTTTCTTCCCCTCCTGAGTTCCATAAGGCACAAAATAATCATCAACCTAACACACAGGGCTAAGGGACAGACAACAAACTGCAGTGAGATCAGCTTACACGTACCTCTATCGTCACCTAGTGGACAGGCTAAGGTGGCCATGTGTGTCCTAGTTTCTTTACAGCTACCTACATTCACTGTTACACGCCAAAGCCTCGTGAATCTGGAGTCTAGACTTGTTAAATACGAGCATCATTTAGGAAATAAATAAAGTTTTTTTTTTTTTTGTGTCCCTTTTTGTCTCAGTTATGAGACGTCATGTGTCTGGACAGGTGGTGCCGCTCTCGGAAGTATTCGTGGCAGATCGGGCAGGTGAGTTTCTCCTCCCTCCTCCTCCTCACCTGCGACTCCGCGGCGAACTCCTTCTTGTGGTGAGAGCGCATGTGGAAAACGAGGTCGGAAGTCATGCGGAAGGACAGGTTGCACTTGGCGCACCAGTTCTGCACCGACACGCCGAATGAGGTGAAAGTCGGCGGAAGGATCGTAAGAGAGGATGTGGTCTGCAACTGAACGCCAATGTTCCTGGACCAGTGCTCCGGTGCGTAATGGAAGGCATTGTTTAAAGCAACCGGGGAGGGTAGAGTCTGTAAGTCACCGCTCAGGATGTTGGATGTCATCAGATTGTTGTATCCCATAACAGTCCTGGGGGTGAAGGCGTCAGTCATCTCCTCGAGGCGGCTAGAGGGGGCTGTTGAAGCGCTGCTGAGATGCGCCTGAGGGTTAATAGGAGAAGTCCTTTTACTCGGTTTACAGAAAGCGCTTTTCTGCTCGCCGTGACTGCTGGACAGGACCAGAGAAAACGCACTGGTGCTGCCTGAATGCACACCAGAGCTCTCACCTGCCTCCGACCGTGCGTCCACCCCTCTGCCGTGCGTAAAAGTCCCCCTGGCCTCTCTCGCTTCAGCAAAAGCATCATTCTTACATCCCAAATGATCCAGTTTGACCTTGTCAACTTTGAGTTTCCCCGCAGTGGAAGATGCATCCCCTGCTGCCTGGTCGTAGCCCTTACTCAGCTGCGTAATATTGTCATCATTTGAAATATTCGTTTTCTCCAACAGGACCGTCTTCCGTGCTTTGGGATAAAGAGTTTCCTCGTATTTCCTTCTCTTGGGGTAAATCTCCGCGTCCTCGTTGCTGCCAGATTTTTTGTGTTCCAAATCTCTGGCGATGTTGTGGAAATCTGTCACTCGATGTTGCCTCTTTATTTCCACATGCTTGTACTCGTAAACCTCGCGGCCCCAGGTATCACTCTTAACTTGAGTACACAGGAATCGGCAGTGAGCCAGGAAAGGATACTCATTCTTGAAGACCTGGTTACATCTTCCACATCTGAACTCTGAAAGAGACAAATACACACGGTGTGACTATACAGATACATGCATATTTAACACGTGCATTTTGGAGTGAAATACAATTTAATTTGAATTCACATCCTCACAGAAGTCCAAAACATACATTCTGAAATAAAACAAACCCAATGTTTAACAGTATTCTGATCTTGCACTCGCATTACAGAGAATCCGCCTCACCTTCACTTGATCCCCTGGTCATGTCTGTGAAGCCCAGTAGGTGAGACAGCTCTTGGTCGTACCAAACCAGCAGCTCTTCCTCCTGCCGGATGTCCCGGATGGTCCGCACATACAGCTGACCCGCTTTCAGGAAGGCCTCCGTGTTCTGTTCCTCTCCATTACGCGCAGCCTGTACGAGCCGCAGCCAGGACAGCACCAGCGCAGAATTACGCATGGCCTCGGGGTCCACCTGTTGACAGGAATCATTGACACTTTACTCCCACATTATCACATTTTCAATTTCTGTCTTTCCTACAAGCTTGGAATTCCTAAAAAGTAGTTAAATGTTGCAGATGGCACTTGTAATTGTTTAAATTATTGAATCCACGTGTTTAAATGTTAGTTCCTTTGGATATAATACCCAAGACAGCAGCTTCGTGACAAACAATAATGCTAAAAATATAGTCACATAAAATAAATATAAGGTGTAAATTCAATAAAAATTAAAATACAAACAAAAAATCCAGTGTCCTACACACTGTTCATGAAAACACCAGGCGTCTGGCCCACATCGAGTTGACTAACTAACTGAAGAAAAGCTGTTTAGAGATGATAAATGTCCATGCTTCATGACAAATGAACACAACATTGTTCAACTCACCCTGAACACATAGGGTTTCGCCCTCTTGTCGCAGGATTTCTGCGCTATGAAGGCGATGGTGTCGTAGAAAGTGTTTTGGAGCACACATGGACCAAAGCACGTGCCTGCAGGGATGCTGCGCGTAACGACCACACTGGTGAAGAGATCCGCTGGATGTTGGAGGAATTTACTGTCACCGGTCCAAATGGATCGAGGCAGGAAAGTGTGATCCATCGTTAAACTGTCATAAAATACAACAGTTATAGTTAGTTACAGAGCATGTAAACAATAGAGGTTGTTAATGGAGTTTTATTCCAATATAAAGGATCAAATCAAGACGTCTGACTTGATATTTAGTAGAATTAGACTAATATCACGATAACTGTAATAACTAATGCACATTTTAAATTGTTATTTTTTAGTCAAACAGAATATGGAGCGAACAATTGGGCCTATATAAAATGAAATATATGTTTTAGTGGTCTGACATGCCGTAAGACGATTTGGATTCAGATGCTCTAAACTCACCCTGAATTGTCTTCCATGCAATATTGGAAAAAAAATAATTGATACAACAGTAATTTTATTTTCTTCTACTAAAATTACGCGTCCTGATTGTGAGGCAGGCGCAGCCGGTGTCGAGGCAAAATGATTTCTAACGTCCTTTGTCTCAGTTTTTCAGTCGGTTTCTCCTTTTGTCTCCCCATCTGCCGTGGAGCCCAACTGCCTCCTCTCTGTGCGCAGGAGAAGTTCCGTGTGTTCCTCCGAATTTATGAACCATATTAACGCGCAAAGATTACGTGACCACTGATTTTTTTCCCCCTGTGGTCAAAAAAAAGTATCGGATCTTGAGGGTTTTATCTTTAAAAAATGTTGACAGCGTCGCAACAGAATGATCTGGTGCTGGATCTGAATATGCCAGTCTTCCAAGTAAAATGACATTTGAGAATCGTGTGTCCCTGTGATAGATAACAGACAAGTGGATGAATCGTGCTGCGTGTGGACTCACCCGCCGGACATCGAGGAGGATGTCTGTGCCGTGTGGCAGCAAGTTGCAGCAGGTGCAGTGGACCTCGTTAAAGATGCCCTCTCGTTTCTTGGTGACGAGTTACTTATCCGCCTGAATCTTCCCTCCGTACTGTCGCCTCTCTCCTCTCCCACTCCCACTTATCCCCTTCAGAAAGCGCACTGAAGCGTGGCGCATTGATGTAAACACGTGCGCGCTCACGCACTCACACACGCGTGCACACAGGCTTTGAATTTAGTCCCTGGGCTAATTCTCCCTTGTCTGGTTTACAGTCCTTTCAGTGAGGAAGAGAGATATGAGACAGTGATAATTTGGCCAATGATGCGCATCATGGGGTTTTTATAATATGGTTGTTCATTTAATACAGTTCAGGGTTAAGCTGACTGATGTGGACATGCACCACATGAGCAGCATTTTTTTCCTTTTAGACAACATGAAACGTTTTACAATTTGAGGCAGTACGACCACATTACCCAACTGAGCTTAGAGGATCACAACCTGCGGAACAAGACCTCACACAGCCCACTGCGAGCCTGCAATTAGTCCGATAAAAAGTCATTAGAATGTGCATGGGGCTGTTCTGACATCTTATTGTCTGTCGTGGTTTTAAATAAAAGTCCCTCCTCTAATTATACTTTATTAAACAGATACACACAACAGCTATATACACGCTATGTGGGATTCAAAGACAGTTTTTGGTCACGTTTCTGGAAACAATAAGTCCAGCTACACGAGACTTACACGAGTGGAAATTGTCCTGGCAAATGTGGGCAATTGAAAATTATAAAATTGGCCACTATTACATGATATGATGCAGGGTGGTCTGGGTTCGCCACCGGGCAAATGCATTATTCATCAACTAAATGTTTCTGTCTAATGAGCATTTAATGGATTATTCTGCATCAAAGCTTTGGTTTGGGTAAATGTCCTGGTGGTTATCGAGCCAACTTTCTATAATGAGAAAGCGGGAACACATTAAATAAAGCCTCGCTCGGGACTCCTCGGGCGCACTCCGACTGTCTGCGTAAAGTGCAATTACACTATAGGCTGAGAAATATTTTATCTTCTATTAGATAACATTTCCTCCTCATTTCAGTAGCGTATTACATTACGTTGTGTTGGGAAGTTTGATGGCAAACCCAGGAACACTTTGAGCATCACATCCTTTCATGGGTCGATTTGCATTCAGGCCCATAATTGAATTACTCTTGTCTTTGTTGTCCTTTTGAAGGCGAGAGGCCAGAGGCTGTGAATGATCGGGACTTTCTCTTAAAAACACAAATTCTGAGGCACAAAAAAATAGTATTGCTCTATCAAAACAAGTTATAAAATGATGTATTTACTCAATGTGACCACACAGAACCGACCTGCTTCTTTAATTTAGCAAATTCTAAATAATCTTAATTATCCATAAAGCAAAAATAGTATTGAGGAGAAATGTTGATTGTAATTTTAATTAATCAAATGTATTGCACATGATTTCTGATGTTTCAAAACAAATTAAAAACAAGGCAGACTTATTCCCATTCTCAAACAGTCCGTTGTTATTTGGGGTAATACTATCCAACCCTATAACTGCTCACTACTTTTCATGGGGGCTTTTCTTTCCTGTGTAAAAGTGAAGTTTTGTATCTATCCTCGGGTGTCGCTCCTCTCCTCCACCCTGCCCTGCTTCACTGCATTTTTTTTCTCTCAGCTGAAAGTGAAGACTTGGAGAGCCCGGCTTTTAAAACTGAACGACACTCCTGCAGGCTGAATGCACCCAACCTCAACAGGACAAAACACCGAGAAAACAACGCGTTAGACGCACACAGCCTAACCAGAAACAGACGATAGAGAGAAAATGTGAAGATCTTGAAGTTGTCACGGTGTTGGAGTAGTCAACAGCAACCGGGAAAGATGGCGAGGACACAGACTCGCATGTTCCTCGCCTTGGCTTTGCTGGGAATTTTCTTCATCGATGTCTCGGTGAAAGGAGAGCTGCAGGGAGAGCAACAGGAGGAGGAGGAGGAGATGTCCTGTCAGGGCGCCTTCGACCTCTATTTTGTCCTGGACAAGTGAGTGTCCGATATTATTTATGGCTTTGTTACTTTCTCATCGCTGCGCATTGCCATGCAACCGCCCAGTTGTTTGGAAACGCGGAGCGCATCAGTCACATTCAGTCTACCACGTTTCTGTTGTTGTAACGGTGCTACACAAAACTAACCTCCAAGTTTGAGATTGTAAATGTGGAAGATCAGCCTTTATCAATTTGCTTTTTGTATCACAACACCAGTCCTAAATCAGGTTTCTTGTTCAGCTGAATAACTAGACTGAGAACACCTCCAAAAAACAACAACATTTGAACCCTCATTGTTTATCTCTTTGGTGTCTTTTCGCGCAGGCATAGTGCATTTTATTTGAAGTATGGATGAATATTTCAGACAATGGGACATGCTTTTGTATTCGTCCGGTTCAAAGTGGATAGGCAAACAGAATGAGCTTTTACCCACGGGATGTGGGCAGGGCGAGCAGGATGGATAGAGTTTCAGGCTGATGACGCCTGCGGACACAGCTGCAGCAGCTGCCCCACAGCGGTGCTCTGTGGCCCGGGTGATCCCTGTAAACGATTCTTCTCTCCATCCACTGTGAGCCGATTGTGTCCTGGACCGGCCATGTAGAGGCTAGAAGAGCAGGGTCCATTCTTTATTGTTTTTCTCCATGGAGGAATTTCTTGACACTAAATCTGATTAGGTAGATTTTTTTTATGGGACCAAAAAAACATTTTGAGGCATATTTTATAAGAAGGTTACAAGTTTATTAATGCTATAAAGATCAGAAATAAGCCATTTGTATTTGGGTTGCCAAGTTCTAAAATAATCCCTTGTATCCAGCTTAACTTGCTTTGCCTTTTAACAGGTTCTGTAATTCACCAGGATGCCAATCACTTACCTACACTTACCTAAACCCCCTTTTTAAAGTATGTGTTACAAGCTGTGCTGTATATAAAAGTGGTATTTCTACATCTTTGGAAATGCAGCTCAAACCTTGATCTTCCGAAAATGACCCAATTCCTTTCATCAAGTATTTCTTGGCCATGTTTGTCTTCATTTGATGGGAGTCAGTAGAGGGTTGACAGGAAATGAGGCATGAGAGAGCGAGGGCGACAAACAAAGGCCCCACAGCCTGATTTGAATCAGAGACCTCTCCTTTACTTGTGGCTCTTAGACCTCCAGGCCACCAAGACGCCCATGACCCTGTTTCTAACCTTAAAACCAACTTTCAGAACTTACCCCGGATCAGTCTTTGAATATGTCTGAAACCCAGTAGACTTTTGGGTGCCACCCTTTGTAAGCCGAGAGGAATGCACATTCGTCCACCACAGCCCCGACAAACATACTTAAATCTCATAATGGTGAGATTTTTCAGGCTGCAGGGTCAGTGAGGGTGTTTTCGCCACCTTTTTGGGGCTGCCTAAACCAGACTATCCTAGTAATTCTCCACGTGTGATCCCTCTGTGGTCCCAGACTGCGCTGCTGTTCATAACAACTCAGACATTATAATTGACATTTTTGCCGTATCTTGGCTCGAGTTGCAAGGTGAAATTAAGCATGTGGACACAGAACAATCAGACATGTCAAAACACGCTGAGTGAGCAGAGATGGAGGGCAGGAGATAGAATGACAAAAAAAAACATGAGGCATGGTTGAATCTGTGGCCCTATTGATTATAATGTCAGAAGAATAGATTATGTTTTGAAAAGAGTGACTGAGTGCAGTGGTGCGGTGAAGCAGTTAAACACTGCGGTATCTGTGTATAACATTTGGGAACACGGTGAGGTAATGGTTTAAAAAAACTCACCGTATGTCCTCAGCTGCCCTGCATGCACCACCTACGAGCTGTGAGGTGGACACATTGAGTTGACATTTTACTTTCAGCATGTTTCATGATCTTTCAGATGTCTCTTCAGTCTTTACCCTTTTGCTTCAAAAAGTTTAGGAGGAGCCTGGGGAGCATGGCACGTCACGCATGGCCAAGCCTCTGGTACGCCTCTGTTTGTTTGACTGTCTGGACCTGCATGCTTCAGCAAGCCTTTAGGAAGCCTCTGCTCTCCCCCCTCCCGAGATGGCACAGACTTGTTGGCTGTTTATCTGATCTTAAATGCCACACACTGACCTAATCTGATACTTCAGTGATAGAGATCCGAGCATAAAATCGCACATTAGGGATGCTTTTACGTGTCTACACTGGTCTTCACTATTTGCCGTACTCATGTTTGGTTTTGGCTTCACTGTCCAGAAGGTTATGGGACGTGCTGAGTAGAGAATGTGTGTGTGGAGGCATCTCAGCACACAGAATGAACATCAGAAAAACTAAAGCGCCATCAGCTCGGCGCATTTCTACACCCCACACCAAATACCAGGCTGCTGTTTTTCCTCCCTATCTGGCTGCCCACAAATAGAATAATATGTGTTGCTGGGTTCTGAACAGAGGTTTTCTTTTCACTGATCCAAGTACTTGCAGACAAAAGGAGATTCTACCCTGATACTATGCAAACTTAAGAGGTAGAAAGGTGAAGACTAATGGCTGAATTGGTTGGGTGATGGCAGCAATTTAGATCTGTAGCCTTCCAGTGAATGTTGTAAAGATACAGTGTGTTCATACATGAGCTGAATTTAGTCACAAAATAATGAACAATGCCAAGAACCCAAGGAAATGTCTCTAAATACCTTGTTTTACACAAAAAGTCCTAAGCCAAAATTTATTCAATCATATAAAAACAAAGAAAAACATCAAATTTGAGAAGCTTGATTATTGACTTTTTCCAATTGTCAATCAGCTGATTAACCATTAATATCTGCACAAATAAAAAGACTCCTCATATATACACATGGTATACAAGATAATGGTTATCTGGCATTGGAGCCTTTTGCTTCACTTGGTTTGATTTTTGTGTTTTAAGACAAACTCTTAAGATTAAGATATTAAGATTGTTTCATCAAAGTGGGAAACTTTGTTCCCTGAGGCGACTCCTCCAGGATAAGGCCTTTTATCACGCCCTCACTTCCAGTCAAGAGGATAAAGTGGAGCAGGAAGCAACTGGTTAAATAAGAGGTACAGAGGAGCCATCATGAGTCTAACCAGCTCACACTTTTGCTCTGTTTATGACCCTGTTACACACACATACACACACGCAGCCTTGCTAAATTTGGTGTAAGCTGTTTGATGTTGCATCCTTCAATAGACACTCACACTCACATTTACCCCCTGCTGAGTGTTACTTCTGCGTCCCGCTGTTGTTCATGTCACAGCCTTTCCACTATGCGGACCCCCAACCTGTTGTTAGACTTGCTGTGCTCACTGGGACCATCTGTTCCCCCTCACACACACACACACACGCACGCACGCACACAAACACAGATAATACTACACACAAACACGGACACACAGGCCAGCTGCCTGCTACATGGTCCCTGCTAGAGGCAGACTGTTACATCTGTCCCTGTCTAACCTCAACCCTCTGGCCCAGCAGCAATTAGCCCCCATTAGAAGCCCCCTGGGACTGGGCTTCA